AAGAGCACCACAGTATTTCCCTTCACCAGCCTAGTCTGACTCTTCAGCCAAATGGCTTGCATGTTCGCCAGAAAGGATTCTCGCCAGTTGACTTTGTGCTGCAGTGCTTTCGCCTGTCTCGCATCACCTTCATTGCCAAGCGCAAGACCCTCTTCATCTCCTTCAGTCTGCTAGTCATCTACTTTGGGCTGATGGCCTCTCTCTTCAGCCCGACCATGACTACCGCCAGTGCTTGCTTCTCAAAGGACGAAAACTCCAACATGACATCGTGCACTGGAAACGTCCAAGAAGATGTGAAAATTCGTGAAAACATATGCTTTCTCACTTTTGTCATTCTGTACACCGGCATGATCATCGTCTGCTCTAGTGCCATTCTCTTCTCCTCCTTTGTGAAAGTTTTTAAATCTGAGCACCGTAACTGTAAGTTTTGTTAACTCAAACATTCAGAGTGGTCAGAATTCTGAAATGCCATTTCTTGCAGATTGGTACTCTTTGGGCTCCTTTTTCTGGTCTTCTCTGTTGATCAGCTTCATTGAGGTGTCGCTGTATGCGCTTTTCAACGCCTGCCTTGGCTACTTTCTACCGGCTCAGCATGCCATCGACAACTACACTATCAACTGGAGCCGCTTTGGCCTTTACTTTCTGTTCATGTGGCTCCTCAGTCTGTACATGCAAAGTTTCGGTCAGCTGATCGGCATCATTCTCGTGAACCATATGGAGTTTGCCATCATTGCCTGCATGATTTTCAACGCCTCTCTGACACTGATGAATGGCCTTTTTGTGGATATGAGTCGAAATGAGAATGCACTCATTTTGGCTGCCTCTAACGTAGTGGCCAACAAGTACATCTCATACGGCATTCTCTACACCTTCTACGGTTTCCAGCGGTGCGACTGGGAGAACGAGTACTCAATCATTATACAGTTTTTTGCGATGGACCTAAACGGCGTTCAGCACTGGATCAGGCGTATAGTGGTCAATGTGCTCATTATCAAATTGTTCACCTTGGCGGTGATGTACTACAAATTTGGAAACTTTTCTGGAAATTTACTCTTTCGACTGTTCAAAAAGTGCAACGACGAACACGTGCTGCAGAGTGATCTCATTTCCATTGACTACGATGAGAGCGTTTCAATTGATGGCTTAAACACAAATAATAAGAAGGAGGCGAATGAAAAGTCCAGTAATGAGGTGCAGTTTGATGAGTTCTCTCGAGGAAGGATAATGATAGCCTGGAGAAATTTGACTCTATTTGGATCGAGCACTATTCACGAGATTGGCTCAAGCACAATGCCAAGAAGGCCTATCTTGCGTAACTTGAATGGACAATTTCGCTTTGGCACACTTAACGCCATCATGGGTAAGGGCTTTTGTTGCATTTCATTTGAAAAGTGATTAATAATTTTGGCGCACTTGTAGGTACTAGTGGGGCTGGCAAAACTTCTTTACTCAAAGTGCTCAATGGACGTTGCAAGACCAGACTGGGAGCTGACACTGCCTTCTACCTGACGCAGTTCACCAAGATACACACCTGCTTCATTACTCAGGAGGTTTCAAACCATCTGATGCCTGGGCTAACAGCAAAACAGATGCTCATCTTTGCGTCGAGAATGAAAAACACCAGGACTGACGTCGACCACGAAAGAGTTGCCTTGAAATGGCTCAATGAATTAGATCTACTCAACACTATGGACNACAGCAAAACAGATGCTCATCTTTGCGTCGAGAATGAAAAACACCAGGACTGACGTCGACCACGAAAGAATTGCCTTGAAATGGCTCAATGAATTAGATCTACTCAACACTATGGACACTAAAGTGGAGAACTGCTCTGGTGGAGAACGAAAAAGGTAAATTGTTGTTCTTTTGATGATTTAAAAACATGCTCATCTGTTTCAAATTGTCATTTAGGCTGGCAGTTGCTCTAGAGCTGACCTCCATCGAAATGGGCCCCAATCTGATTTGTTTAGATGAGTGCACCTCCGGTTTGGACTCTAATTCTTCGAGAATTGTAAGCATGTTCAGTTGTGTTCAATCGTCAATAACCGTTCATTTTCTTTTGTCCGTATTCAGGTCATTTCCACACTGCACAAACTGGCACAGTCTCACCCATTGACGATTATCACCTCGATTCACCAGCCAACCGCTGAGGTGCTATTCATGTTTGATTCCTTGTACATTCTGGCAAGAGGAGGTGTGTGCCTCTATTCCGGAGCGCCATACGACGTGAAGCCGTACATGAACCAGCTCTCTGGCATCATCGAGACTGACTCCAAGTACGCCATTGAGACGCTGATAAAGCACTCCTGCTCGAACCACCACAATCCGATTGTGAGAAAACTAGTCCGCCACAATGACAGTCAACTGTTGCAAGTGAAAACCTCTGAACTACTTGACGACACACAGCTAGTTCTCGATGGAGTGCAGAAGAATCGCCATCGATTCTCCCTTCGTTCATCTTTCATTCTCTTCATGCGATACTTTGCCTACTTCAGGGGCCACCAGTGGATTGAGTCCATTTTCTTTGCCTTCAACTTTTTCTTTTATGGGTTTGCACTTAGATTTTTCTACGAAAAAAAGATGATTTACATCACCGGGTGCTTGAACATTCAAGAGGACGACACCTCAGCTTGCAGGCGCACGCCGGAAAACGTGGAAGAGCTCTACCAACTACTGAATAACTTTAAATTCAACTTTTTCTACGCCAACTTTTTCTTGTTTTTCATTGTCTTCCAGTGCTCAATGAGTTTCCTCAAAGAGCTTAAGTATTTTAAAAACGAGCACCGCAATGGATGGTATTCTTCTGGTTCTCTTTACTTGATGAAGTCCCTTGTCGACATTTTGCCACTAATTCCAGTAATCATGTTCTACGTGTACATTTGCAACTGGTACGAGGAAATTCGCCCGGGTATCTTCTGGAACTTTGTGTTTGTCTTCCTTCTGGGCGCAGTTGCATTCCAGGGGATGGGGCACGTTTTTGCAATCTGTTCAAATGGCAACATTACCGTGCTCATCGTTCTCTCCACCACCGTTTTCTTCTTTTTTACATTGCTCAGTAATTTTCTGCTCACTTACTCTCGTCTTCACTACATATATCAGTTTATTAGCAATTTGGCAATATCTAAATTTATCTTTGAAGCTGTGATGTTGCTTATTTACGGCTTTGAACGCTGTAAATCCAATGAGATTCAGCAGCTTCTCTACACAATGACCATTAGCGACGCTGACTACAACCACTGCATAATTATGCTCATTTTCAACATTATTTTCTATCGAGTTCTCACCATTTACCTGTTGATATGGAAAGCGAATCCAGTGGAGAACCGTCGACAGAGAATGGCGCGAATAGTCGACTACATGGGCAATCTTGAGCCAGCAAGAACATTGATCCCTGGTCTCAGCGCCTCTCAGCTTGATTTGAGCGTTAAAGTGCCCAATGTCTAAAAAGCCAACACTTTTATTTATTATGTAAAAACTCCTTTATTTTGTATTATAATTTTTATTATTTATACACAAATAAGCAAATAAACTGAAAATTGAAAAAAACTTTAAAAAAATGCAAAAAATTGTCAAGTGCAACAAAGTTTATTTCACGTAAAGAAATTAAACTTGTGTAACCGAATTCGGTATTCTAACGGAAAATCCCCTATTTTTAAATGGTATTCTGTGCTTAAAATGTTTTTTCTTAAAGAGTAGAAAAACAATTTTACGACTTTCTAGCGATGACGTACTGGCCAATCATCTGAAGTCATTTAACAAACTATTGCAATTACACTTGATAAACGATAGTGAAAATCCGTCCTTCGTAACCAGCTGCACTTAAATTGCCCTCAAGGTAAGCAGGAAATCTGGACTATGTTTGCGATCAAACCGCCTGACGATTAGCCGTTTTGTATAAATAGAAAATACTATGCAGAAAAATGCCACTTTTTAGCAAGTGAACAAGGAAACAACATTTTGTGTGCGGCCAGCAAACATGCCAACTAAAGGTAATCGTCCCTATGATATTGTCATCTTCGGAGCGACAGGTGTCGTGGGCTACTATGCCATTCGTGATCTGTATCAGTCAGTACAGCAGAGCAGTGAAGAATACGCCTCTGTAAGATGGGCCGTTGCTGGCCGACGGATGGACAAGCTGCAGCAGACGCTGGCAGAGCTGTCCGAAGAGCTTCAAGTGGACCTATCTGCAGTGCCTAAAATCATCGCTGACGTGCTCGACCTCCCCTCAATAGAGACCATGGTGAAGAGCACCAAAGTGCTGCTGAACTGCGTCGGACCGTATAACCACTACGGGCGAGCAGTGGTTGACGCCTGCATTAACGCCCGAACTGATCACTTTGATCTGAGTGCCGAGCTGCAGTTCATCGAGGGTACACAGCTGGACTGCCACGAAGCGGCACTCAACGCTGAAGTGATCGTCGTCTCTGCCTGTGGATTCTGCAGCATAATCCCCGAAATGGGCTTAGCTCTGGCTCGCCAGCACTTCAACGGAACACTGCATTCTGTAGAGAGCTACATCGATTTCAAACCGGGAAAACAGGTATTTGTTGACATGGTGGGAAACCGCGTAAACTTACTTGATCATTTTGCTTTTCAGGGCTACTCCATCAACTTTGGGTCTTTCCATTCGATAATGTACTTCTTTGTGAACATCCTAGACATGGTGCCCATTCGCAGGCGCTTGAGGGAGCAGTACTCAACCGCGGCACTGCCAAAATCTCGCATCGGTCACTGGCAGTGGCTGCTTCGTTTTCCCTTCAGCAGTAACGCCAAAGGCATCAGCGTCGTTCTCCCAATTCCTGACTTGTCGGCTGCCCATCGAACTAATCAGTACAACTACCAGCATCACGGTGACCGTCCCATCCTCTACAGTGCCTACTACCGCCTCCGAATGTGGAAGGTCATCTTCGGGTGGCCCATAGTATTCCTTTTCTGGTGCGGCTGCGGGCGTGCACTACTGAAGCGAAATATCGACTGCCTGACAAATGGCGTCATTTCCAAAAACGGTCCCTCGCGAGAGCAGGTCAGTGAGGCTCGCTTCTCACTGAGGGTTATTGCCAAAGGGTGGTCGGAGAAGTGCGACAGTACTGAACTGGAGCCGAAAGGAAAGCGTGACAAGAAGATGATCATCAAGATAAGCGGCGGGGATCCTCCATACGCAGTGACTGCCAGTGCACTCGTACAGGTTGGCTTGACTGCACTCATAGACCGCAAAATGATGCCAAGGTAATTAAGCTATCATTTGCAAAGCATCATTAACAGCGAGACTAAACTTTCTTTTCTTACTTCGTTTAATGTTTTTTTCAGAGGTGGAGTCTTGACGGCAGGCTCGGCGTTCAGAGAGACGCAACTTTGGGAACGGCTACAGCGAAGGGGGATAACCTGGCAAATAGAGGAGAAATCGCCGGTTAAAACCAATGGAAAAGTTTGAGAAACGACTAATTGTAAATAGAGATGGTTTTTTGTAACATAATTGCAATTATTCAGCAATTTGTACTTTCATTAAAAACCTTTTTGAGTACAATTACTTTATGTTAGAAATGCTTAACGAGAAATTCTCTGACGTAAACAAGAAAATTATAGCAATTTGAAATCGATAAGGACTGTAAACTGGTGAGTCATTGACAGTGTGTTGGCTCAAAGTGTAAACAT